CAGTATTTGGAGCTGACCAGTATAATTCTTCAGCTGTTCCTTTGCTGCATACAGAAGCAAGCGCCCTACCCCCACATTCCTCCTTTCATTCCCTCAGTGTCACTGGAAGGATTGATGCATGAGAAGATGGCTGTGGCCCTCAGCTGTTTCTAACACTGCTCTTTTTCTCTATTCAGATCTTTCTGCTGCTTTGCACTCCTGGGCTCCCAAGGCCTGCATGGTTGCTGTTAAAAAAAGCCTCGCAGCAAATACATCAAAGAGGGAGACCAAAAGCTTTTGAGTTGATTTATATGACACTAAGCCTTTTGTATGATGCATCAATTGATATTTCATTTTTATTGCACTACAGTGGGGTATATAGACTTAACAGCAAGAGGTGTCCTTTTGATCTCTCATCACACATGAAAACAGGTATCATAGTCCAGAGATTATGGAGGTCAGAGATTATTTGAGGAAGGATTAAGTAGTAGTACCATTTTTCATAGCAACTATCTCCAAAAGCATGAGATTCTTTTAAAAGTGCAGCTGTTATTTCAGTCTAGATAAGTGGTATTTATTTGTCATATACCAATTTTTCCTGCTCAAAGAAGACCAGAATTTTTCAGTGTTTTGTATTAAAGATGCAGAAATAAATCAAATGCTTCTCTTATAAGTACAATTAATAAAATAACTTCCTGAGTCTCCTGAAATCCAGAAGAAATTTTGGGTTGCTTTTTCTATTAGTTGATCTTCACAGAAATGGCCTTGAGACTGTTCAGAAGATAATGGGGTGACTGTATTAATGTGCAGCACTGCACCAATTTATACACACATACAATTGCTTAGTCTGAATCCGATTTACCTCAGAAAGTGAACAGAATTCTCTGCTGAGATGAGTACTGGTTCAGTTTTCAATAAATACAACTGAAATATTGCTCTGACTCATTCCAAGAGTCTCTCATTCCATTAGAAACTCTATAACAACCAAAAGCAATTTTGGTTTATATATTTGGTTTATAGTGGTAACCCACTATAGGTATGTGAGTATCTCTCCTGCTAAGGAAACCACTGATTGCTCAGCTTTTATAAAAATAGATTAATTTTTGAGGCTGTTTACATCCACAATGTAATGTGGGTAAAATCAATAGCAAGAGTGTTGTATTAGATTCAACAAACCCAAGAAACCTATTTCTCCTAGTTAGTGTAATTATAATTTTGTTGACAAGCAGATGTTTAAAGAGCCCTCAAATATGTAATTATTAGAATAAGTGAGGAATTGAGGATCTCTAGAATTATAGGGCCAGCAATACAGTAGTCTTGCATCCCAAAAATTAACGCAAATGTATTCCAAGAGTAAGTATAATTTTGAAGCCTTTTAAGTGTAGTTAATGTTGATTTATTCAGCCCATCAACTGTCATAAGTCTATACATCTCATAGCACTTGTCTTCAGTTACTGCCTCCACAAAAAGCTCAACAGTTTGGTCCTATCTTTCAGCTACATTAGGAGAAAGTCTTATTTGCACAATGTTTGACTAATGTGGACTGAAGTGTTTAGTTCAGCTCTTTGCTCTGGAACAAAGAGCATCCATTCAGGCTTTTTTAGAAGAGCTAGTGCTCCATTTCTGAGCTGTCTTGCAGCTTCTGTCCTGATCAGTGGATCGAGGCTGCTCAGGGCTGAATGGGCACTGTGCTGCAGGGCCAAGCAGCTGCTGTGTTCCCTCGTCACAGCAAGTGACAGAACCTGCATGGCCTTACCTCCCCAAAATATTGTAAGGCTGCCAACCTCATGTTTGGAGTGCCATGCTGCTGACCCAGGTGATGGGAGGGTATGTCTAACACTGCTGGCTGTGCTTAGAAATTGAAGTTGAAACTTTTGGAAGGTGGTCTCTGATTTTTGGTCCAGATCTCTAAGTGAAACCATGCAGGACATGACTGTCCTGTGCACTTTGCAAGGAAAGACTTGAAACACTGTTTGGTTTCAGCTTTGTTTTCTGTTCAGGTTTATTCTTTTCTGGGCTGCATTGTATTAATGCTTTATATTAAAAGCCCAGAACTGAAATAGACTAACTTTTCGTTCCCCGTAATTTCTTCTCATCTTCTCTGTCAAGATAAAAAGATGTACTTTGCTTTTATAATACTGCTTTGTCAGGATGGAAAATTGTCAGGTGTCTTGTTTCAGGTATCATTAACTATCTAGCAAAGCCTTTTTCTTCTGTTTTCTTGATATGTCTAGACTGACCTTTCTCTGAATCTAAAGGGATTCCTAAGGAAATCAAATGCACCTAGAAACACCTGCCACCTCTCTTCCTTTCCCAGCATCTTAAATTGTTTTGGTGCTCTGGGGCTCCTGCCAAGTGTGAGGAAGCATATTTGTATTTTTGTGTGCTGGTGGATGGGCCAGTGTTGTGGTTACTACTCATACGAGGCAGAGTCCTTTGTGCTCTCCAGCAGTGCACTGGTAGCACTGGGGAGAGCACCAGTACAGTTCCAGTTTGGGGAATGTGAGAGCCAGGAGTGGGGCTGTCCTCACCAACGTATAAGGAAGCATTTTTGTCATCAGAAGCATAAGCAAAATGTCCCTATATTTATAAAGCATTCCCAATACTGCAGCTGAGATGTCCCTTGCAAAGATCAACTGCCAGACCTGGTAGTTCACTTGCCAGGCTGAGTAAGGAAGGATTGGAGAAGGAGCTGCATCCTGACTTTGGCTGGTTGAGAGGTCCCTGTTGTGGGGCCGGCCTTGCCGGGGAGTAGAATGGGGATCAGCCACTCTTCTGGAAGGTGCTTGCAAGTGGCATCAGCCTCTTCCCTGGTTTCAGCTGTCTTCTTCAGAGCATGCTCCCAACAGGGAATGCTGAGAACCAGCTCACCAAAGAAAAATACAGCCAGGGCTTCTTCCTTCAATAGGAAGGGATCAAAGTGTTAAAAAATTATCATGCTGACAGTGGCAATAGGAAGGTGTGCCTTGGTATGGAAAGAAGAAAGCAACAACATACAGAATAGATTTTTCCCAAAAGTAAACCACAATTTTGACATGTTATCTTCTGCCATACTTGGAAAACCTAACACAGGAAGGTGCTAGCCCATAGTCTGATGTGCCTAGACACTGATACAATATTAAAAACCTGGAATTTACCTAATGGTAATCAAATGGATGTTCCGTAAGGACGCTATAGTAGGGTGTCAGTATTCAGAACATTTCCTAGAATGGGGTGGCACATGAATTTCAAAAACAGCACAGTAATTTGAAAGGATAATTTCCACTGAAATTTGGTGGGATTGATGTTCCTAAATGAGGAACTCCAAAGCCCCATTTTGCTGTGTTACAACCCCACCCCCATCATCTTTCCTTACATATCATGGAGGCTGCAGGAATAGCCATGTCAGGCCATGGCTTGAAGAGGGTGAAGCAGGAGGTACAGGACTTGGGATGGGCAGCACAGCAGCTGCTGGCAAGCAAACTGAGCTGCTGTGTGAATACCACTCATCTTCCAAGTAAGATTAAGAGTTTTCTTTGAAAGTCAACAGCGTCATCAGTGGAATAGTCTGCTCAAAGCTACACAGACTTTTGTACCACACAGAACACCTGCACATTGGGTGTCAACAAGCAGATGTTGGACTGTGCATCTGAAAGTGGGCAGTTCTTAGGCTGCTTTAGATCTATAGAAGGAATTGTCAGATTTATAGCAGTCTTTGTCCAATTCCTGAAAAACTTAGCCCTGTTTATATCTGAGCAGGGATTTGTGAGAAACCAGAGCCCATTAGTACCCTTAAAGAAAAAAAGCAAGAGTAGGAGGTGCTGATGTTTCTTTGCACTTCTGTGAAGCTGAAATGCTGGATTTGTGCCACTGCCTCTTATGGCAAATTCACGTGTTTATCCAAGTGAGGACTTACATGATTTAGGGCTGTGTGTAAAGGGTGAGGCGATGTCAGGCAAACAAATTTCTGCAGTGGGAGGTCAGTGTGAGTCCCAACACCTGCAAGATGATTCTCCATCCGCATTTCTAGCAGGGCAAATAAATTCCAGAGCCAGACCTTTGCCAGCAGTGTCATGTGATCTCAGGAAACACTTTCTAGACTGTTTGCAGGTTGCTTCCTCCACTTGACAACCCATAATTTTATATCTGAAGGGTGAAGAGATCCACAGTCTTTAATGAGAGTTATGTTTCTTAGCAGCTTCAATGATTGCTCTGTAGAACTGTTGCTTTGAATAATGTATTACCCATTGCTCTATTTTTAACCCCATACATTATTCTCAGATGAGAAGCATAATCTTTTTTTTTTTTTTTTTTTTTTTTTTTTTTTTTTTTTTTTTTTTTTTTTTTTTTTTTTTTTTTTTTTTTGGGAAAAGGGCGGATTCGTTAAAAAATACTTCAGAAATCAGATGGGAACATTCTTTTATCCTGTCTGAATAGTGTGCAACTTGAAAGTTAGTTACAGGAGATCAAATTAATTTCTGGTGTAATTTAATGGGAAGCCAGGTGCATAAATTGGAAAAGAAAATAAGAATAACATGAGAAAAGAATAGTTCTGGCACAACACTTCACCAAGGGATATGAGTGGTGCCTCGGGCTGAATATTGTTTGAAAGCACCATCAAAGGTAGATTAAAGTCAGGAGTATTGTGGGAGGAAATGGATAACCAGCACAGCAGGAGCAGTTACTCCAGGGGATTTCTGCTGCTTATATGTGCACAGCTGGGGCCTCTAGGGATGGGGGTTATTTTGGAAGAGATGAAAGGTCGTGTCAAGTTGATTTAGTGCCTACAAATGCTGGTGGTATGTTGTTTAGTCCCTAATCTGTCAGGTAGAGAACAAGAAGCTTATACTGTTTGTTCAACAGAAAAATATGGGTTCCCCACCACAACCACCAATTAAGAGCATTTCTAAGAACAGAAATCTAGCCTGATGTGCATGTTTAAAAAAATTTATCTTCACAATGACACTCAGGCTTCTCTGATTATAATATATGCTTAGAATGTCCTGAAACTTAAATCAGTTCTAGATCCCTGGTGAAAGATAATTTTTTATACATTTAATTTCCATTTTATGGCACAAAACTGAGTTCTTTAGTGCATTACACACCACTGGGACAAGACACACAGTACAAAGAGATCCAGATATGCTAGTTCCCTGCAATCTGGTAAAGTTCTATACAAAAAGGTACAAATACTGGAGGTATTAAATTTGGAAAATTAAATGCAAAGTTTTTTGATTTTAAGTTTGCAATGTGAAGTAGCCCATGCTCTATATAACATGGGAGGAAAAACCAGTCTGTTTTCAAAATGGAAAATCTGCAGGGAAAGAGAGAATTAGCAACTGATGAAAGTAAATGAGTAATAAACCAGGCAATAACACAAAATCTGAACATACATAAAAAGCTTAATCACAATCTATATATAGATTTTACATCTCAGGAACATAATGTAACATATTGCTTCTCAAGGGTATCTCTGACTCTCATAATACCCTAGATTTGTACTAGAAATCCAGATTCTCTAACAGTTTATTCTTTGCAATATTTACCTCATTTGAAATATTACCACAATTCTCATTTAAATGATACAAAGCTCTCAGATGAAAGAGAGTAGGCACAGCATTTTCACTGGTGCCATGAAGGTGACTGTCACAGGCAGGAGGAGCATAGGCCGATGCAATGTTCTTCAGTGAACTGCACATCCATACTGTGCAGATTCCTGACCACGGAAATTTTCCAACTCCAGAGAAAGTGGCCAGTCAGTCCTCTCATCCTTCAGTTCTGACCCAGTGGTGTATGGAAGTGCAGATGCCCTGCTCTCACACAGTAGTGAGTGAGAAAGTCTGGCAGAAGTACTGACTGTGCAAAAAGTGCCCCACCTCTTCTCCCCGTGAGGCTTTGGAGAGATTGCATTTTTTTTTCAAAGTGTAATGTAAACATTTTCCTGTACTTTTATTTAATGAGAGATAAGTTTTTGCAGCACTTACTGCACTGAGCCCTAAAATGACATTACTTCATAAAATGGTGGGAAACATGCCCTGTTCTTCCTTACCTAGATATTTTGGGGCAGCTGAGACAGCAATATTTCTTAAATCATTAAATTGTTAATCTGCTCAGTGAAAAATTCTGTTAGTCATAAGCAAATATTAAAGCTTCTGTACAATACTGTCCAATGCTCAAACATAATAAATCTAAGCAGAAGTAATGCAAAAAAAAAATGGCTACATCTCATAGCATGGTCAGGAGAACAGGACTTGCAAAAAGAAAACTAAAAGGAAGCTTGAGAGGTATAAACCTGTGAAAATATGTATGTAAGGCCATATGGTTGCTGTCTATGAATACACTAAGAGGAAAATGAAATATTTAAGCTAAAGAACAGTGTTGGCAAAAGAAAACAAAAAACTATATTGGTATAAAGCGGCCATTAATAAAATTGTGCTAAAAGTGCAAGTCTTGGAGAGCAGCACAGCTCTGGAATGGTCTTCAGGAGGAGCGGGGAGCAAAAATGTGACTACTTTTAACATGGAGTTAGTTAAGTTTATGAAAGTAATTCCTGTGCACTGTGTAAAGTAATTGTCATGATAATAAGAACATCTTAAATTTCAATACTTTATTTAGTGTCTTTGATCAAAAGCACTTATATAAAAATGCAATAATGAAAATTCCTTTCAACCAATACAATAGAAGTTGGAATCCTTGGGTATTTCATTTTCTTTAGTAAAATGCAATTTGGACACGTTCCAGTCAATATTTGCAGAAATGACAGAACATCAGCCCTACAAATAATAATAAATCTAGAACATAAGATAAGCTATAGGTTATTGAAATGATGTGTTGCAAAGTTAAATCCAGCCTTTGCAATGTTAAACTAGCAACAGCTGAGGGAATTTGTGGCTCTTTGGCAAGTCTACAGGTCTCACCAAATAATTCCTCTGAAAGTCTCTGGTTTTCAGCTCTGTAAATCTACTCTTTGTGAAACTGAGATAAAACCACTGCTTGGAGCCGAGTTCTCCAAAAGCCCCAACCAAGAGATGGAGTTTGCAGTGTCCTTTGCATCAGTAAGAGAATTTGCCACCCTTGCAGCATGACTGGACGGTATGTGCTGCCCATGCCCACATCTTCCTCCCCTTGTTTCTTTTTTGGTATTTCAGTTCAACGAGTGACCTCATGCTGCCGCTGCTGCGTGTGTGAGGTGGCTGTTTGTGGGTGTGTCATAGCTTACACACGTGCAGTATGAATCAGGGACAGGAGTACTGAATTTATGCCTGGGAGTCAGCACAAATTGAATTGAACCAGCCCTATCCAGAAGCGTAAACCTTAGCAAAATATTTCAAGTTTGGATACCAAATTCAAGTTATCTAGGTCTACCTTCAGAACCACGTATATGGCACTTTCAATTTCAGGGACAGCAAGCAATGGCTTGCCAATTGACTTATAACTTGTGCAGGCTGTGTCAATAATTGGTAAGGTGGGAAAGGCCCTTTTTCCCTCACACTTCATGGCCTAAATCAGCTACAGAAGTGAGGGTGTTCAACAGAAATGGGGTAAGTTATTTCACACTGTGTATTCTGTCATAGATCACCGGGCAAACAGAAATCTGGTCCTGGGTGCTCAGCTTTCTTTTTTTTAGGTGGAGCTGATACAGTATCAAAAGATCCAGACCAAGCTGCAACCTCTAATAGCCTAAATGAGGCAATTAACTATTCATATCATATTTGCTTTATTTTGTTGGTTGAGTCCCCGTTTGTCATGAAAAACACAGTCTTCCAAACAAGACAATTTCAGCTTTTGTATTTTAATTTCTCTTCCAACTAGCTTGAATTTAATTTCTGCACCTCTCTAGTCTTCCCAAGTAAAACAAAAAAAAATTAATTGGAACATTATATGTAATGAATGGGATGGAACAGCAGTAGGATCTGAAGAGAAATACTGTTCTGCCCACTGAGTGCCAGTAGTTTTTTTTCTAGCACAGAAGTAAAAAGAGAGAAGCAGTGGCTTCTGCCTGTTGACTACAAGTTTGATCTCTATACAATTGTTTAAGGGAGAAGACTAAGCACTCATAAAACCACTCTATGAAGATTCATTATTACTCTTGAAATCACATATGATCTGTTCTCTCATGTTGTTTTTTTCTTTAAACAAGTATATGCCAGCCCTTGAAAGGATTAAAATTGACATAACAGAAGTAGGTAGGAGGATCTACCCACAGATAACTGCAGTATTAAACTCTTTATCTGTTCCCTTCTTAGGCTTTTATGCTCTCCCTTATCTGTAAATTAAGAGTTTCTTTCTGAGTGAAAATGGTTTTTTTGCTTAGAGATTCCTTGGCAGAAATTTTAATGAAATTGTCTGTCATCAACACCTGCTTTCAAGCTTTACTGATAAAATTAGATTTTATATCTCAGCATCACATATGGCATCTTTATAATTAGTCTTTTTGCAGTATATGAATGTCAACTCCTAAAATGCTGCCTGTACTGTTCATGTGGGAATATTTCACTTCATTAATCGAATCCAAGTTTTTCATTGGTGCTTCTAATTGTTTAAAGCCCACATTTTCGTATGTCTAATCTCAAAACCATTTTGGTGGACTGATACAACACATTTGCAGTTGCACTGGGACTGAGCTGTGAGCAGATCCCTTCTCGGAATGGAATCCTGAGAACTCTAGATGGGCTTCCATACCTAGAGTCACTTGTGGAAATGTAGTCTTAGAATATGTAGCTATCTGAAAATGAGGGGTGGCCTTCTTTAGAGGGCTTGGTATTGATCTAGTCTTGGAAATGGAGGAAGGTCTATGCCCAGAAGATTCTGAAAAATATTATTATACATAACATTTCAGGACAACAACACCCAGATTTTAACACACATACTAAAGAATAAGCAAACTCAGAGGTGTTTTCAGGCAAGTGATGATCAGAATTATTGGTCAGCAATATAGGTAGAAGTGTTCCTGTATCAGTGACTCACAGGTGGCTCTTTCAAACCCTTGTAAAATGCATGGGAAGTCTTATACTAGTACAGACACCAATATAAGTGATAGGTGATTTTTTCATTACTCATGTGACAGCTGAGAATTTTTATTCCACTTGGGTACATTAATTTCTCTGCTCATATGAGAAGATGCATAAAGTAACAGATCATCACTATACCACCAGCACTAATGGCATGGAAGTGGTAACATTTGTATGGAAAAGTCAGCACTTAGTACCCTTATGCAACAGGATGAAAATGTGCAAACTGTTAACTTGTAATAGAAATGTCTTTAGTTTCTCAAGTGCAAAGTGCAGTGTCAGCAACACTATCTTCTTGGGAAAAAAAAAAAAAGACAAATAGGAAAACATTTATAAACATAGCTCTTGATAGCTCTCATGCAAACTGCTGTCAGACTTGTACACTAATGCAGTGAATCATTCAGGCTCAACTCACTGGGGGTACTTCTGCTCATATTGGTCAGACTGGCCATAAGGGATTTAACTTTATAAGCATAGTAGTCCCTTAAGTTGACAGATGGAACTTCTTTCATGCCATCACCAAAATCACAGCTTCTCATGGCGCTCTCTAACTGCTTCTGACGTCTATAGAAGTGGGAGAATTTATTAAAGATCAGTGTAATGGGAAGCACTACCACTAGGATACCAGCTAGGATGCATGCAGATGCTGTCAACTTGCCAGCAGTGCTCCCTGGCACCACATCCCCGTAGCCAACTGTGGTCATGCTAACAGTAGCCCACCACCAACAAGCAGGGATTGTGGCTAACCCCTCATTGTCTTCTTTCTCAATGGTGTAAGCCACTACTGAGAAAATGGAGATGCCAACAGAGAGGTAGAGTAAAAGAAGCCCCACCTCTCTGTAGCTGTACTTCAGAGTTGCTCCAAGAGACCTGAGACCTGTGGAGTGTCTAGCAAGCTTTAATATGCGGAAAATCCTCATGAGTCTCAGGACTTGTGCAACTCTGCCTAAATTTGCTAATGTTGGACTACTTTCCACCACCAAGTTGACAATTAATGTAATATAAAATGGAAGGATAGACATTAGGTCAATCAAATTCAGGGCATGCTTGAAAAATTTTAAAAAGTCAGGAGCTACTGCAAATCTTGCCACCAGTTCAAAAGTGAACCATGCAATACCAAAATGTTCCACGATTTCAAAGCGAGGGTCTTCCTCGGTGTTGCCGTTGCTGTCAACAATCTGAAAGTCTGGAAGGCTGTTCAGGCACATGGTCACAATGGAGCCCAACACCACCACTATTGAAAGGACACTGAAGATGCGGCTTAAAACCGAGTAGCCAGGATTATCCAAAGCAAGCCAGAGCTGCCTCCTGATGTTTCCAAAGGGCTGTTTGTCAAATTTAGAGGCATCATTGTAGAATGCCAAAATCTCATCAAAAGAAGATGTTGTACTTTCCTGGTCACTTTGTTCCTCCCATTTCTCTTGGTCTGGCTCCATTTTCCTCCCATGGTAGCTATAACTGCAGCAGGAGTCTATAAAGAATTCATTGATTCCCCAGTATTCAATCTCCTGGCTGAAAGAAAAGACACAGAGTTCACCCATCACATGGAGCTTGCCAGTGTTATAAAAATGTAGCACGTAAGGAAAGAGCTCGGGGTTCCTGTCAAAATAAAATTCATTCTTGGTGTCATCATAGTCATCACAAAGCTCCAGTATAGACTCCTTTGAGTGGCAGCTCAGCAATTTGCCCAGCCTGGTCTCGGGGAACCTTAATAATGTGTTGGATCTCATCTTTTTCTTAAAGCCTCCAACGTTGATGCTGATCTCATTGTCTTCAAAATTCGCTTCAGATAAAGCCCTCAGACTCTGCCCTGTCATAGTGAGCTCCTTCCAAAGGTGGGTAGGGAATGAAAACCTAGGATACAATTACACAGAAAGTTGGCAGAATGCACGAATCCACAGCATGTTCACCAATCTTTTTCTTTCTTTCTTTCTTTCTTTTCTCCCTGTTCACTCACTTTCCCTCCCTCCCTCCCTTTTTCTTCCTCTGCCCCCGTCTCTCCCCTTTTCCCTCTTTTCTTTCTTCCCACCTCCCACTGAAGACCTTGAGGGAGGCTCCTTTGTTCCCGCGGTGGCTCCTGTCCCTCCCCTCGCCCTTCACCTGGGCTGCGGCTGTCGCTCCCACCAGCCCCGTTACTCACGGCCTCTGTGCCACCGGGGCCGCGCGGACCTTTCATTCCCTCCCGCCGCTCCCGGCCCCGCCACACAGGGAGCCCCGCCGCCGCCCGGGGTCCCGTCCCACGCCGCGCTCAGGGGCCGGAGCCGCGCTGCGACCCGCGGGGAGCGCGCCCCGCCCGGCTCCGCGGCGCTCCGCGCCCGCCCTACCTGCTGCCTCAGCGGCCGCGGCCCCCCGCCGGCGCGCCCGGCTGCCCCCGGCCCCCGCCCGCCATCGCCGCCGCCCGCGGGGGCCGCCGGGCTCGCCTCGCTGCGCGGGGCTGCCGGTGCCGGGCGTGGCGCTGGTCTCGGGGGTGCCGGTGCCGGGCAGGGCAGGGCGGCCCCGCCGGCCGCGCGGTGCTGAAGGGACAGCGGCCGCCCCGCTCAGCGGCGGGAGGCGGCGGCACGCCCGCTCGTCATGGCGACGACCCCCGCGGCTGCCGCCCGCCCCCGCCGCTCCCACCTACCCCCGGCCCGACCCCGCCGGCAGCGATCGGGCCGGGTGCGTGGGCACCGGGGCTGCGGAGGGGCGGCCCAGCGGAGCCGGTGCGCCGAAGGTGCCTCCGCTCGCTCGCTCTTGCCCCCGCGCACCGGCGGCAGCGGCGCCGCAAACTCGGGTTTCCTCCCCACCGCGATCCTGCTTCACGCCGGCTCCGAGCGGCACAACCTCCCGAGGGGGGACGGGGGACGCCCACCCGCGGCCGCAGTGGCTCCGAGCACCCGCGGACCTTCTGCCGAGGGGCGTCGCCCGCCCCCGCCGCTCTCCCCCTCACCCTGCCGGGAAGGGACCGGGGCGGCTGGTGCCGCTGCCCCGCCCGCCCATGGCACCAGCGGGTCCTGGCTGCGGCTCCGGAGCAGGGTCCCTGCGGACACTGACCCCAGGAAAGACGGGGACACTTGTCTGAGCGATTTGGTGTGAGGGGAACGGAGCTGCGTGTTGAAGCTGCTCGTCGCCCCCTCAGTCGCCGGCTGGGAACCCCCGACCTCCGCACACAGCCCCGCCAGCCATTTCGGGAGGGATAATCGTGATAATCGTGATAATCGTGATAATCGTGATAATCGAGCAGGGCGGGTGGGAGGGCTGACCTCCTTGTGCTGCTGCTCTCGGTGGATAGACTTTTCGTGCTAGCACATGGAATAGTGTCCCTGTGCTAGCACATGGTCAGCGATGGCAGTGTCCCTGCTCACGCTGCAGGCGACTGGGAAGAAACATCCCCTCTGTTGCTGAGCCCAGGGTGAGGCCGGGCTTCTCGGGGGGAGCCTGATCGTGGCAATCCCTGCGCACCTGACCCCGCCCTGAGCAGGGCCGGCTGTGCAGAGCACAGATGCTCCGGAACAGGTGCTTTATGCCGAGATAACCCACATGGTCTCCTGCAAGCTGCCTCGTGACCGCCTCTCACTCGTGGTCCCATGCCTCTGAAATCCAGCTCCTGTTAATGCATTGCTGTCAGTGCTTTGTAGGGTTAGGATGTGCAGGGGGATGAAGACTCCTCTCTTGCTTCCCTCAGCCCTGTTAGAGCCCTGAGCACTCCAGCCCTACATATCACCTTCTGCTTGTTCCTCAAAGCCTCGGTGAGGAAGAGAGGTTATAACGTCCAAGTCCAGCCACAGGTGAGCCTCATTTACAAGAAGCCCCCCAGTATTAAAGATCAGCCCTTTAAGAGCCCAGGAAACTGAGTACAGACATGGAGTAGGGCAAGTAAGTCCTGGTGTATGCCGCTGGCCAGGTCTCCAAGAGCCTGCTCAGCTTTTTTACCTGGGGTATCGTGATCACACCACCATATCCCACCAAGGCTGGTGCATTGTGTGGTCAAAGACTCCACAACTCTGGGACACTCCCACAGCGGTGTGCGGGGACCCACAGCACCCTCAGCCCCCCGAGATGCTTCCGACGATCCGTGCTCTAGTGATGCTACAGATGGTCTCCCTGCTCGCCTTTTCTTGGGTGGTGTGTGCTCTTGCTTTGCTCTGCCGCTGGTGAGTGCCTCCTGCCTCCCTTTCCTACAGATGCCCTGGCTCAGGGTTCTGTGTCCCAGCATGCGTCACTGCGTGTCCGGCGACATCCCAGGGCACGCTGGATCCGCATGGAATTACGGACACCAGGCTGCTCTCCTGGCCAGGGAAAGTGCTGCTCCTCTCAGCCCGGTCCCTCCAGCTCTCCACCTGCTGGGAACAGGAGACAGTGACTGCACACAGCAGGGAGTAGGCTTTGTAAATGCAGTGGCGACCTGCCCGCTTCCCTGTAACAGTGTGGTTTCATGTCCAGAGAGGCAGCTCTCCTGCTTCCCAGTGGCACTGTAGCTGTTGTGTTAGTTCGTGAGAGCCGCCTCCTCTCGGGGATTTGCTGGCGAGCCACTCACTGGAGAGCTCTAATTATACTGGCTTTTAATGCCTGGGGCAAGGGGTAGCAGGACACAGGACTGGGAAAACACCACGTTAAAATTTTGAGTTGGATTTTGAACGTGGCCCCACCACGTTCCCCAGGGTTTGGATAAATCACAAAACTTCTCTATTGTAATTTCCCACTCACTTTTAGGAGAACAAAAATAACTCTTATTCCTCAGTAACATTACAAGGAATAATGAGCTGCTGCTGCTGGAAGTACATTCAAGCGATGTCTGTGTATTTCCCTCAGTTCTGCTTCATTCTGGGTAGCTAGTGGGGGCTTCAAACATGTTGAAACATCTTCAGCAATTTTTTAAAAATACTTTTGTTTCTTATTCTTAAGTTAAATATTTTTCCTTAATGCTGCTTTAGAACAAACTAAGTGGAGACATATTTAGAGGATTTCCAAGCTTTTATAGATTGTTCTCACCTTCTAAGTGACTTGGCTAAGAAAAAAATGGTTACAGGCAGTCTCATTACTCATTTATCAATCTCTGATCTTATCTGTACCTTGGCAAAAATTGCTGATCACTTTTCTAAGTTGCATTTTCTCATTAAAAAACACATAAGGATACAGCTCTCTCTGGTCTCATATAACTGCTCCTGTAATTAGGGCTAATAGACTCAGTCCAAGCATTTTGCTAATAAGGCTAAAATGATTCCAGCTCCCAAATTAGTAATCCAAAAATCCATCTGATTTTTTTTTTTTTTTTTTGTAAAGGGCACACTCTGCTCCATGGGCATATAAGAGTTACTGTTACTGACCTAATATTTTTGCCTTTCCCAGCAGTAAATACAGAAAAAATTGCTGTGAACACGCTATCACTGGTGTAATCTGAGGCAAAAGATATGTCAAAAGAAATCAGGTATGTCATTTTTGCACAAAATGAGCTTGTGATGTGTCAGATAAGAACACATTTTGGGATGCACTGATAATACACCAAATAAATACAAAACAACACTTTGTTTGCACTGCCTTGTGGACACTTCTTGGACTGTAGAGAATGCAAGATCAGTGCTGAGGTGGGGCTGGGCTGGGAGCATAAGGAAGTGTGAAGAATTGCCTGTTGGAGTGGGGAGATGAATGAATGATTCATATCACCCTAGGGTAATATTACAAAAGCTAAACTAACTTTGGGTTTGGTGGTTATAGTTTCTGACTGAGACTGCGTGAGATGGGACTTTTTTTATTGGTACACGTGGTACCATGTTATTTAAGGAATATGAGAAGGTGCCAGTGTAAAAACACAGCGTGAGTACAGGCGCCCTCCAGGGCCAGGGAGACATGGCAACTACAGTGTTTGACAATACACCCAGCCTGGGGTTTGTGGTGACCTAAACTGTGAGGGAATGTGGAAATTATTGCCATCCTACTGACTGAGTCAGTGTAGGAAGCTGCTGCCTAAGAAGCCATATCCTCAGGCATACCCCCTGCCTGGTCCCTGTTGGCTGCCCCGCCACCACTGCGGTGAGCTAACACTGCTGGGGACATGTGGCATTCTGTCCTGCAGGCACGACACGGCAGCTGAGATGCATTGTCACCTTTGGAAGAAGTGGAACTGCTCCAAAACTACTAAATCTACAAGTGTTAATGAAATACTGAATTGGGTCTAAAGGAAGTTATGGGACCAAAGTCAGTAGTTTTATTGGCATGGTGAATGTGGTGGATTCACTTTGAATTTGAGGACACAACCATCTATTACACTGAAGGTGGAACTTTATTCTGAATTTAATACTTACTGAAAGGTTTCCCTCTGTCCCTAGGGCCAGATTCAAATGTACGTTCTTGCTGACTCTTTCCTTTTGTTACAGACAGATTGGAAAATCCAGGGGTCTTAATGCATCTTAATGTCTTAGTTTAAGATCTATAGATACAACCTGCTTTTCTTTCCAAAGGTGGCTGAGACCTTTCTGTGTTGGCTTTTCTACTGCCACAACTGTTAACTGTGGCCAGTTAGTAAATACGTTTAGAAGAAGTAACAATAACTTTGCACATCGTGCTCACTAAATACTAGAAAAGGATTGTTGCAGAACATTGCCAAGTTTATAAGAATGAAGTTGATAATGGATTTAAACAAATTCATAAAGACTACATCAGTTTCTGGATATTTATCCACCTAATCTGAGTACAGTTTCAATTTGACAGAAATTTGAGAGAGAATATTGCAGAAGAGGGACCCTTCTAAACACACCTTTTCTTACCTCCCCCATGTCAGCAAGGCAGCCACTCTCATGATGCTTGATTCTTGTCAGTCTGTAGCCAGCCTTTTCTAACTGGAAGTCTAATGAAAGCTGAGATTGTCCCTGCTTTTTTCATCATTCTAAAACCCTCATAACCAGAGGCATAAAAGAAGTGCCCTTTGTTTATGAGTCTGCTCGCCCTGTGAGTGCCCTGACAGATATTCCTGCTTTTCTTAGGAGGCAAAGGCTTTGCACAAGTTCTGTGGCATTTGCAGTATAAAATGTGTGAGCGAGGAAAGTCACTTTACTAAGCTGTAAGTTTACAAGGCAGTGATAGCCATGTCTGGAAACAGACCTTCACTGTGACACAGTGGAACTCAGTGGACCACAGAGAGACCATCTGGCAGCTGAAGAAACTGAATCATGTGCTGAACATGAATGGAACATTTCTTTTTGTCTGACAGCACCTCAACAGAGTGGCAAATACTGATATTTTGTGGTGCAGTGATTGCAGGAGTATTGGAGTTTTACTGTGATGACTGTGGTATTCTGCCTTTTGTTGTGAGTTGACCTCCTTAGTCACTTCTGTGCCTGCACCACCTGATTCTTGACTCTGTGGGAATATTTGCTTTTGCAAGCCCAGTGGGGAGCATTGTCTTCCTTAATTAAATCACTACATCCCAGAATCATGGAATGCAAGCAAAAAAAAAAAAAAGGTTATTAGATAATTGTGACTTTCTTTTAGATAGGTTGTAGAATTTTAAAACCTTCTGTCCCCTAGTGAAAACTGATGTCTGAGATGGGTGAAATGAGCCGTACCTACAGACCCCAATGAGCCATGGGAAAGAGGGGGTTTTAGAGCTGCATTTTTGGATGTGAAGATGACCAAATGCAGTGCAATGGTCACTTTCACAGTGGCATGTGTTGCAGACAGCAATGGGCTTGGCCTCTTTAATATTTGTATGAATGGAGGAGGGGAGAAAGAGGATCTTGCTTGGATGTAGGTTATGGCTATTAGTTCTAAAATGTGGCTAAAAAGCCTAATTCTGTTGTCAGTCAGATGACATGGAGCGTTTGAAGGTTATTTCGCTTGCATTTCAAACTTACTAATTTGGAACTTATTCAAGTTCCTACTTGGAAACATAGTATTCAAAGAAAGCATGAA